AAGGGAGGGAGAAGGGAAATGGGATTGTCATGTAAATCAATCTTGTTTCAAATTATAAAAAAAATATAAAAAAACAGACTGAAAAAGAAAAACCACATGATCATCCCGATGGAAAAACCTCTGACAACATCCAACATCTGTTCATGATTAATATCTTGGAGAGAATAGGCATAACAGGAACATATATAAACATGATAATAACAATATACACCAATCCAACAGCCAACATCAAACTAAATGGAGAGAAACTTAAAGCAATTCCTCTAAAATCAGGAACAAGACAAGGCTGTCAACTCTCTCCATATCTCTTCAATACTGGCTATAGCAATAAGACAAGAAAAGGAGATCAAAGGGATACAAATTGGAATGAAAGAAGTCAAACTTTCACTATTTGCAGATGTATGATAGTCTACATAAGAGACCCGAAAAACTCTACCAGGGAACTCCTACAGCTGATAAACACCTTCAGCAAAGTAGCAGGATACAATATTAACTCAAAAAAAATCAGTAGCTCTACTATATACAGATGATAAATCTAATGAGAAAGAAATCAGAGAAACATCACCCTTCACAATATCCACAAGCAACATGAAATATCTTGGGGTAACACTATCCAAAAAAGTGAAGGAACTGTACAGTAAGAACTTTGAGTCTTTAAAGAGAGAAATTAAAGAAGATACCAAAAATGGAAAGATGTCCCATGCTCATGGATAGGTAGAATCAACATAGTAAAAATGGAAATCTTGTCAAAAGTATTCTACAGATTCAACGCAATCCCCATCAAAATCCCAACACAGTTCTTCACAGACCTTGAAAGAACAATACTCAACTTTATGTGGAAAAATAAAAACCCAGGATAGACAAAACAACTCTGTACAATACAGGATCTTCTGGAGGCATCACCATTCCTGACTTCAAGCTCTATTATGGAGCCATAGTTCTGAAAACAGGTAATGGCACAAAAATAGACAGACAGATCAATGGAAGTGAATTAAAAACCCTGATATTAACCCACACAACTATGAACACCTTATTTTTGACAAAGATGCTAAATCTATACAATGGAAGAAGGATAGCATCTTCAACAAATGGTGCTGTCACAACTGGATTCGGGCATGCAGAAGATTGCAGATAGATCCATATCTGTCACCATGCACAAAACTTAAGTGCAAATGGATCAAATATCTCAACAT